AACGAGTGAATGAATGAATAAATTAATGAACGAAAAAATGAATGCATGCATGAATGAATGAAAAAAAGAAAGAACAATGAATGAACTGTTCGTATATGAATGCATGCACTGAGCTTAAATAATGCACGTTCATGCTATTTGCTAAATGCACGCAAATGAATATAAAATACTTTGAAATTCATTCAAATAATTTTTTGCTGACAACAACAGCAGCAGCGACAGCAGCTACAACAGCTACAACGGCAACAACAGCAACAACAACATATACAACAAAAACAACAACATCAACAAAAACAACAACATCTACAATAATATTTTCAACAGATTAAGCAATGGAACTGCTTAAAGCCATAAAGTTAATGTCTTGGAAGGGTTGCTGCTTTTGATGTTGATGTTGTTGTTGTTGTTATTATTATTGTTATTGTTGTTATTTTTTATTTTATATAAATTCCTGCCTTGCTTACATTAATCATTTGGACTCCCGTCTCAATTCTGATTAAAGAAATTTTACTTGGGGGGTGTGGCGATGATGATGAAGATGACGACGACGATGATGACGATGATGATGATGACAACGACGATGATGATGATGATGTTATGGGCATGATAAAGCGAAGCTCAGTAATTATTCTATTGATTCTCATTTCCTTTTGTATCATTCATTTTTTGATCATTCATTCATTTTTTGGTGTAACTTTCATTCACTCATTTACTAATTTTTTTTGTCCAATCATCTGTCCATACACTCATTCATTCATTCATTCATTCATTTATTCATTCATTCATTCATTCATTCATTCATTTATCTTCCTTCCTTTCTTTCAAATTTTTATGTTAGTTTATTCTTTTGTTCGGTTTTCCATCATTTAATTGATATTTTTTGTATTCAAATATTTACTTAATCATTCATTTTTTTCATTCTTTTATTCAATTTTTACTCCTTCACTCATTCGTTTATTAATTCACTTATTCATTCCATCTTTCTTTCATTCTTTCTTTCTTTCAAACTGTATTCTTTTGTTCAGTTTTTCACCATATAATTGATATTTCTCGTTAATTCATTTTCTCCACCGTTCATTCATTCATTCATTCATTCATTTTTTTATTCATTCATTCATTCCTTCTATCCTTCCTTTCTTCTATCCTTTCTTTACTCGTTTGTTCTTTCGTTCCCCTGCCTATCTTTCGCACGGAAGATATAAAAGATAGATAAAATTGCTATATTGAAATGAAGACAATAGGTGAAGACGGTGATGATAACGATGATGATGATGATCATGATGATGATCATGAAGATGATGATGATGATAACGATGATGATGATGATAACGATCATCATCATCATCACCATCATCGTTGTCGTCGTCCTCGCCGTGATAAGAAGGAAGGCATTTTCTCTCTGCTCACATCAATACTTATATAGCAGATTATACCAAATGATTGATTGATATTTGTTTGTCTATTTTGAAGCGTCTGTGTTGCTAAAAATTTTCATCCATCCATTCATTCATTCATCCATTCATTTATTTATTCATTCATTCTTTCATTCGTTCATTCGTTTGTTTGTTCGTTTGTTTGTTCGTTTGGTCGATTGTTCGTTCACGCGTTCTTTCATCAGTTCAGCTGTTCGTTCATACATTTGTTTGCTTATTCATTCATTCATTCATTCATTCATTCATTCATTCATTTATTCATTCATTCATTCATTCATTCATTCATTCATTCATTCATTCATTCATTCATTTTTTCTTTTTTTCATTCGTTTATATATTCACTCATTCATTCATTCATTCATTCAATCCATCACCATCTATCCCGGCAATGCCTTCAGCGCCAACCAACCAATCAAGCCTTTAATTCAATGGAAAGAGAAATATTGTATGTATGTATGTGTGTATGTATGTGTGTATGTATGTATGTATGTATGTATGTATGTATGTATGTATGTATGTATGTATGTATGTATGTATGTATGTATGTATGTATGTATGTATGTATGTATGTATGTATGTATGTATGTATGTATGTATGTATGTATGTATGTATGTATGTATGTATGTATGTATGTATGTATGTATGTATGTATGTATGTATGTATGTATGTATGTATGTATGTATGTATGTATGTATGTATGTATGTATGTATGTATGTATGTATGTATGTATGTATGTATGTATGTATGTATGTATGTATGTATGTATGTATGTATGTATGTATGTATGTATGTATGTATGTATGTATGTATGTATGTATGTATGTATGTATGTATGTATGTATGTATGTACGTATACATGTATGTATTAATAAAACGGTAAGTGGGCATATATATATATATATATATATAAATATATATATATATATATATAGGCTTTGTTTTTATTTAATGAGTTTGATGGGAAAATCATGTTTTTATTATTTTTATTATTATTCTCATTGTTATCTTTTTTATTATTATTATTATTATTATTTGTTGTCGTTATTGTTTTCGTTGTATTTTTGCCTCCGACAAGTCTTGTACATTCCATCTCTGTCTTTTTGTTTGTTGTTATTTTCATATTATTATTGTTAGTAGTAGTAGAAGTAGAAGTAGAAGCAGTAGTAGTAGTAGTAGTAGTAGTAGTAGTAGTAGTAGTAGTAGTAGTAGTAGTAGTAGCAGTAGCAACAGCAGCAGTAATAGTAGCAGCAGCGGTAGTAGTACTAGCAGTAGTAGTACTAGTAGTAGTAGTAGTAGTTATTGTTTTTGTTGCTTTGTTTGATGTTGTAGTAGTCGTAGTAGAAGTAGTAGTAGTAGTAGTAGTAGTAGTAGTAGTAGTGGTGGTAGTAGTGGTAGTAAAAAAAGTAGTAGTAGTAGTAGTAGTAGCAGCCGCAGCAGTTGTAGTAGAAGTAGCTTTTGTTGTTGCTGCTGTTTGTTTGTTTATCTTATAATATATAGCATGTTTAACCTAAGACATACAGTCATGTTTAAATCTTCTTGAATTTTTTTTTGTTAGCATGGCTGTTGTTGTAGTTGTTGGTGTTGTTGCTGCTGCTGTTGTTGTTGTTTTTGTTGTATTTACATTTTTGCTATTATCGTCCTTATCAACTTGAATATAAATAATCTTTTTTTTTGCATTTCCAACAGTTTTTCATTTATTTTTCTATGCTTTTTTCCAGTTTATACTTTGTTTATTTTATTTCTGTTGTTTTGTCGTTGTTGTTTTTCTTTGTTTTTCTTTTCCGGTGATTTATATTTGAGGGTTATTTAATGTTAGTAAAATTTTAGCATGTTTGTCATTTGGCTGGTTGGTCGGTTTGTTGGTTGGTTGATTGGTTGGTTGGTTTGTTTGTTGGTTGGTTAGTTGGTTGGTTTGTTGGTTGGTCGACCGACATCATCAACAACAACAACGCTATCATCATCATCAACAACTACTACTACTATAACAAAAACAGCATCATCATCATCTTACCGTTTTTATTGCTTTTATATTATCGCGATTTGCAGTAAATAATAATGATGATAACATTGATTGCCTTTGTAATCCTATTAATGCCCCATAGTCGCCTCTTCTACTACAACTACTACTACTGCTGCTGCTGCTACTACAACAACTACTACTGCTGCTACTACTACTGCTTCTACTACTACTTACGTCTATTACTACTGCTGCTACTTATATATATTATTCTCTATTATTATTTTTATCAGTAGAAGTAGTTGCAGCAGCAGCAGCAGTAGTAGTAGTAGTAGTAGTAGTAGTAGTAGTAGTAGTGGTGGTGGTAGTAGTGGTCGTAGTAGTAGTATCGTTACGGGATGGAGAGCGAGGAACAATAAATTGTAGACATGCAATTACCTTGCCTAACTTATGAGGAATCGTGTTGCTTTCTATGTTTATATGGGTCAGGCGAGTATAAATTATTATTTTTATTGTTTATTATAATTATAATAATATATATTATTTATAATTATTTATAATTATTGCCGATATTGTTATTTATTGTTGTTGTTGTTTTTTTTTTCTGTTGTTGATGTTGTAGATGTGCGTTAGTAAGATTTGAGTTGCTTTTATGTAGGTTGGCTGTACATAACTAATTATTATTAATGTTATTTATATTATTATAAATATATTATTCATTATTATTGTTACCATCATCATCATCATCATCATCATCAACATCATCGACATCATCATCACAACTCACCAACGATCCCATGAAATGTGACATCTCGTTCGTATCTTTCGGAAATCTTTCAAAGAAATTTTAACTGGACGTTGAAAAAAATTATGTTTTTTTTGGAAGGAAATTTATTTTTATTATAATTATTAATTATTATTATTACTAATATTATTAATTATTTATTATTATTATTAATTCAAATAAAAATTTTTTATATATTCTTGCTTTCGATGTCGAATTAAACAAAGCCTTGCAAAGCAAATATAATGCTTTTCTTATATACCACTCATACATGCATGCATATATACATGCATGCATACATCATACATGCATGCTAACACTCACACACACATACATACATACATACATACATACATACATACATACATACATACATACATACATACATACATACATACATTTATACATACCTACATGAGTACATACACATGCGAATATACAAATATATCGAGGATAGAAAATTTTTTTATTTCATCGTATTTTCATATTTCTTTCATCTCTTTGTATTGTATTTCTGTATTTCGGGACCAATTTCTGTATTTACTTTGTTTCATTTTTATAAATCATTATTATTCTTTGATTAATGAGTTTGAAACGACAAGTTTGAAACATGTATTAAAACAATTTAAACGTAATTTTTGATTACACATCACCATCATCATCTCATTAGCATTATCACCATATTCAGATCCTCATCATCATTATCCATCATCTTCATTACTATTATTATACTCGAATCGTCATCATTATCATCGCTTTTTCTTCTTCTTGATGATGATGATGATAATGATGATGATGATGATGATATACGTCATCATCATCATCATAATGTCATCAGATCATCACATTTCCATGATTTTCCAACAATCCCCCCAACCATAGATTTTGCCCTAGATTTTTTTCTTCCCAAAATACCCTTCACGAAATTCCCCACTCTGGTCTGGAAAAACCCATCCAGTTTTGTTCTGCTAGCCAGGGGTTTCAGAAAAAGGTTGTTGCTATTTTTAGATTTTGTTGCTGTTGCTGTTATTGTTGTTGTTGTCATGGTGATGTTGTTGTTGTTGTTGTCGTCATTAATTGTCGTAATTGTGGTGTTGTTGGTTGACGTTGAATCGAAATCGATGACGCATAGATTGTTGAAGTAACTACTCTCATCGTCGTCGTCGTCATCATCGCGGTTACCATTAAATTCTCTCTCGCCGCCACCATCATCATCATAACCACAGCCGATGTAATCGTCATCATAATCTTCACGATCGTCATCTATAAGGTCAGCCCGCCTACGCGAATCACGTGACAGGGGGTGAGGTGAATTCCGATTGGTTGATCGCAGTTGGATCTGCCTAGCCACGCCCACCAACAGCTGTTCAATGTTGTGGTCCAACATGGAGGAGACCTCGATGAACTTCCGGTGGTGCCTTGTGGCCAGGCGCTTGCCATCTGGTGAGAGAAAATTTAAATTTACTTCATTCATTCATTCGTCCATTCATTCATTCATTCATTCATTCATTTATTCATTCATTCATTCAATCATATTTTATTCATTTATATTCATTTTGGTATGTTAAATTTGAACCGACCAAACTCATCAATGAGTCTATTTCTAACAAGGTCATTTTTGTTGGCCACCAGTATGACGGAGGTGCTTCTGCTGTACTTCAAGTTTAAACCGCAAATTATGTCGTTGATATTTTCGTTAATGTTGTTGTTGTTGTTGATGTTGTTGTTGTTGTTGATGTTGCTGATGTTGTTGTTGATGTTAAATTTCAGATCATTCAGAATTCTCTGAGCTTGTTTGAACGATAAAACATCGGCCACTGAATATACGACTATAATGCAACTACAAAATTGTTGTTGTTGATGTCGTTGTTGTTGTTGATGTTGATGTTGATGTCGTTGTTGTTGTTGTAATGTTGATGTATTGATGAATGTCAGAATCATTTCAGTGTCATCCAGTTTTACCGCTACTTCTGTCGTTCTATCTGTTTGATCGTTCATGTGTTTATCCATTCATTCATTCATTAAATCATTCATTCATTCACTCATTCATTTACTCATTCATTCACTCATTCATTTACTCATTCATTCACTCATTCATTCATTCATTCATTCATTTATTCATTCATTCATTAATTCATTAATTCATTCATTCATTCATTCATTCATTCATTCATTCATTCATTCATTCTTTCTTTCATTCATTCATTCATTCTTTCATTCCTCTTTTCATAAACTTACCATGGAAAGCATCGCCCCGCAAATCATTATCATTATTATTATCAGAGTTATAATTATTATTATTATTATTACCATAATTATTATTATTGTTGTTGTTATTATAAGCGTGTTCTGACGTCATGAGTTGTTTTATGAGGGTCGTCTTGCCAACACCACAACCGCCAGCAACCAGTACGATGTGTTTAGTGACGTCACGAGATTCCAGGTGATGGCCTGATCTCGAATCCACTACTAATTTTAAAAAGTTTTCGACGTTGTTGTTGTTGTTGTTGCTGTTGTTGTTGTTGTTGTTGTTGAATTGAGATTTTGTTGTTGTTGATGTTGTTGGTTCTTTTAAGAGAGCTTCTTGATCTGAATATAAGTAAAGTTGTGATATTTTTGCATCTTAGCATCATCATCATTATCGTCATCATCATCATCATCGTCGTCATCATCACCATCGTCGTCGTCGTCGTCACCATCATCACCTATTTCTATGTTAGCTTTCCTAATCCTAAACGAGTCGCCTCTATTTACAATTCCGCCATTTTTTTTCGTGGAAAAGTTTCTCATCCTTTGCAGCTTGGCCACGCCGATGTTAGGAATGAAAAGATCCCCGGCAAAATTTGGTGAAATTTTAGCGGAAACAGTTGGTACGTCACTTCCGGTTGCAGTGGCCGTGCTGTTGTTGGTTGTGGGGTTATAAAAATTGTTGTTGTTGTTGCTGCTGCTGTAATATCTTTGTTTATTCGTTGTGGTTACAGCCGTTTTCGATCTTTTGACTTTGTTTCTAAGGGGCTTCAAGGATGATAGCGATGATGGAGGAAACGGCTGTTGTTGTTGTTGTCGTTGTTGTTGTTGTGGCGACGATGACGTCACGATTATAGACGATGACGGAGAAGGTGGTAGTGGTGATGATGATGTTGACGTTAAAATCGTTTCAACGCTGTTTATCTCGATAGTCGGGGGTTTGTTCTGCGTGGTTTGGATGAACTGACAAACATACAAACAAATATACAAACATACAAACAAGCTTACCTGCAAATAAACAAAACATACAAATGTAGATAAAAACATACATACAAACAAGCATACAAGCAAACAAACAAACAAACAAAACATACAAATGTTGATAGAAATATACATACAAACAAGCATACATACAAACAAGCATACATACAAACAAGCAAACAAAACATACAAATGTAGATACAAACAGATATACAAACAGACATACAAACAGACGTACCAATACATATTTCCCGCTATACAAAAACGCATCATGTGGCATCAACAACACATCAGTTAAGGCCATTGATGACGTCGTTGATGTTGTTGTTTTTGGAGAAGATGGTAATGACGAAGATGACGTCATAGTTTGTTGTTGTTGTTGTTGTTGTTGTTGAGAGTCTATTTTTAGACTTCTGTTAAGTTTATTTTTAAACCAATCTTTGATTTTGCCCGAAGACGATGATGACGACGATGTTGATGACGACGATGGTGGTCGTGATGGCGATGACGATGATGATGAAGATGGCGATGAGTATAATGATGGCGGGGGCGGTGAAAGATAATTAAAATCCATTTCTGCTGTTGTTGTTGATGTTGTTGTTGATGTTGTTAATGTTGATGATTTTGTAGTTGTCGTTGATGTTGATGTTGTTTTTGTTGATGTTGATGTTTTTGCTGATGTTGGTGTTGTTGTTGTTGATGTTGTTGTTGCTGTTGCTGATGTTGGTGTTGCTGTTGTTGATGTATTTGTTGTTGTTATTGATGTTGTTGTTGATGTTGTTGTTGATGTTGTTGTTGATGCCGTCAAGTGAATAGACAATCTAAAATAGTTAAAAACATTCGAAAACCTTAATTAATTATTATACTCGAATAAATTAAATTGACTTTTAAATGTTGCAAAAAACTATTCCTTCATTCCTTCATTCATTCATCCAAGCAACTAACTCACCATCCATCTATCCACAAATTATAAAAACAGGTTCATGAACAGTCATTGAATACCGATAAGAAAACTATACTCTCTTATCTTATATCAACAACAAAAATTACAACATACGCCAGTATATATACATACATGCACACATGCATGCATGCATGCATGCATACATACATACATTCATACATACATACATACATACATACATACATACATACATACATACATACATTCATACATACATACATACATACATACATACATACATACATGCCTAACCATGGCTTGTTCATCAAAACGGGTTCATGCATACATACATACATACATACATATGCATATGTACACTCACGCTAATTTTTGTTTATTTTTATAGACAATAAAATGCTGATAGTTTATATAAACAATTATGCTTTCGATGTTTATTTTATCTAGACTTTTGCATGCACACACACACGCATGCACAGTGGTGGGTCTAGAAGGGAGGTGACAGACGGGCCATGCCCCCCCCCCTTGTGAGCAGCGTTGTTGTTTAGGGTGAATCAGTAAAACTTTCCGTTGTTGGCAATGTTTTTATTAATATTCAGTAGAAATCAGTTTTTAGTCAAAAATCAACCAAAAATTGACGCAATGAACCAAAAAAGGGTCTCTGGCTTACTGGCTTAATTTTAGCCACATTAGTAGAATTTTTAAAGAGGTGTTGTTGGTTGTTCAGTGTACAGCTTTTTGAAGGATTTGGGTTTGGCAGGTAGAAGACGATCGAGTTGTATGAGGAACATAGGAGGACGTACAGCCGAAAGAGCGTCTTACTGAAGATGGTTATGTAGGAAGAAAAAGGAATGCGAGTTTAAATGGTTAACAGACGAGCTCGTGTGCAACGTAAGTAAGGCTTCCAATTACTCAACACTCCCAGATACGGCTTAGCGTGTTACTTGGCTCGTCGATATAGCTCACATCGTGATGTGTTTATATGTGAACTGTCTGGCACACCTGAATAATTTTCAGTATGAAAGAAGGTGATTTCAAAGCGAGGCAAATTGTTTGCTCGGCAAGAAACATTCAACAAATCTGTAGATGTGGCCCTGTTTCTTCTCGAGAGTGTCAGGAAGTTGAAGGGTCGAAGCACTCGTTGACGGAAACTTCCTCAGAAGACTCTTGCTGAACGTTCGTTATGTTCGTGTTTTTACATACATACACACACACACACACACACACATACACACACACACACACACACACGCTCACACACACACACACATACACACGCTCACACGCAAACATGCATTCATCCATACATACATACGTTCATACATTTTATTAATAGAATGATCTTTTTTTTTACTCGCGTTTCAAATTTTTACCAACAATTCCATTTATATGTTTATTTTATTTCGCTGCTATGTAAACATTTTTGCAGCCTCTTTCAAAGGTAATAATGCTTTATCATATTTATCGGCGTTATCTCCCCCGTTATCACTGCATCATAATGACATTAACATTACGCAACAATGAAAGTTACATTACATTTCATTACAATAACCTCTCAATAGATTACAATAGCATTACAGTTTATTATTACAACAACGTGACAGATTACTACATAAATATACAATTATAATAAATTAACAATAGTACTTTATAAAAATAACATTATAGTATATGTAAAATTCGTACCGTTATAACGGAAATATTACAGTACAATAAATTATAATAATATTATATAATATAATATATAAATTATTTAATTACATTGTAATAATATTTCATTTATTTCTTACATTTAAAATACGTTAACTAACACCGTAACGTCTTTTAAAAGAGTTCCTTATTCAGGCGGGAAAATCCTAACAGAACAAATTGTTGCATCGTGTATTTAAACTTTTATCCTTTATATCGTATGATTTTTAAGAAAGTAGAAAAGGAGTTGTGGTGTGTGAGAGAGAGAGTGAAAGGGGGGGGGGAGAAGGAGAGAGATTCAAAGAAAAAAGAGAAGGTACATGGATGATACATTGAATGGTTAAGGTAACGTGGATAACAAAAATAGTAAAAACCATATAGGTATTCAACAGGTTTAGAAACATTTAGAAGAAGGCAAACTAAATGCAATGGTGTCAGGAAATAACCTCCGATTTAGACAAAAAAGGGAAAGTCTCGTTGCAGGCATTGGGCAGAACTTGTGTGACTCTAGAGATTTTAAATTTGGAATTGCAGAAATACACTGCCTAAAATTCATCGCATATAACATAACAAAAAATACCCAAACTTTTTTGACAACACGTGAACAGACTAACACGCAACTATGAAAATGTCTGAGACCTGCAAGTCGATAAGTCGATGGTCAGATCTTGCAAAATTTTTTAGGTCAATTTTTGGGCCCAATGTAGATGTAGATAAATTATTTTACGTGGGGAAAATGTTGACGAGATGAAGATTACGATCCAAGTTCTTGTAAACAAACGGAAAAACCTGGAAAAGAATAAAACGTCGGGACCAGATGGAACACACCCTCCTATCCTCAAGGAGTGTAGGGTTGGGGTTAGAAACTAAAAAATTGAAAAAAGAGAGGAGAGAGAAAGAGAAGGAGAGAGACAGAACGAAAGAAAGAGAAATCGAAAGAAAATGAGAAGGAAAAGATAGAGTCAACTATTTGGAGACCAGATGATACATACACACATAGGTACATTCACGCATACATACACACATACATATACATATACACACATACATACATGAATACATGCATGCATACTTGCAAAACATTCACAGGTCTGTGTAAATCATTCAACTGATTATTATTCAGCTATACATTATTTTAAATTTTATTAGTTTTGTTATTTTTATTTGTATTATTTATGAACGCATGTGTAGGGAGGCATTTAGAAACTCATTCAGATAAACTGAAAATGAAAGAAAGAGAAAGAAACTCAGAAACTCAAAACGGATGGAGAAGAAAGAAAAAAGAAAATATTAAGAAGAGAGAGAGAGAGAAAGAGAGAGAGAGAGAGAGAGAAAAAAAAAGAGAGAGAGAAAGGAGGAAAGGGATTTTGTTCTGTTACTGGTTAACAAGCGAGAAATGCAAAAGGCAATTATTGTTAATTTATTGCCTCTTCCAAAGAAAAGCGCCTCTCTACAAGGAAAAAAACTACCTTATTATAGCAAAAGTTATAACAATTTTAATTATTTTTATCATTTTATTAACATTATTTCACTATTATTATTCATATTATTGTTACAAAATCTTGGCTGTGAAGAAATAGAAGCTTTTCAACTGATTTCAAGAAGAAAAAACAATGAAGAAATGGTACTGCATAAAAATATTGTTTAAAATGTAACTAAAACCCAGACATGTTGAAGTGTAGCGCCCTATAATTTATTATCAAAAGGCACTTGTAAGTTCACTTTTTTTAGCTTCGATCGTGGTTTGTTATTTCAATGTTTTTGTCTTCATTTTTTGCACGTTTCATTAGTGAATTAGTGCAATTTTTATGAAACATAATAATAGTTATTTATTTTTTCATGAAGAAATAAAAATAATTCTTAGTTTGAGATAAGTTAAGCTGATTTCCAGGTAAGCAGCTACAGAAGCGCGCTTTAATTTAAAAATGTCCAAATGTGAAAACAAAAATTTCAAATGATGGCGGTTTTAAATTATGTTAAGTGGTTAATATAATTGATTATTTCAGATTAGTGTAACTTACGTTCGTTCAACTAGATAGGAACAGTTCTAAAAGACTGTTTATAACTCATGGAGGTTTGTGTCAATAATAAAGAAAAAGGATCATCATCACCATCAGTGATTATTTAAAATATGAATAATTAATTATTTATAATTCTTTATTATTATATATTTTTGTCATACTTTTTTATGCTCTCATGTGAATGTAGTTTTTTTTGTCATAGATGAGATATGATATATATTATATATATAATTATATTATATATATGTATAAATGATGTATATATATATATATAAACATTTGTCTCAAGTTTATATATAAATATAACATATGATTGTGTGGTATCTGATGCGATGTTGTGTGGTGTGTTATGTAATTATCCAACTTTTTAAACTTCTTTGATAAATCTATCAACTTATTGACACTATCTAATTAGCGTTAATTAACAAACTACAAAGGTGAAAGTTAATGGTGTATTACATGGGGAAATGAAAAATGATGCTGGCAAACATAAACAACACCTTCAAGAACCCTTAACCTCTCCCCACGAAGAACTCCAGTACATCAACCTCGTCAATCAGATCATCACCAATGGTCACTTAAAATCAGACAGAACTGGAACGGGCACTCGATCAATATTTGGCACACAGATGAGGTTCAGCCTTCGAAATGACACCATTCCCCTCCTAACCACCAAACGAGTTTTCTGGAAGGGTGTAGTCGAAGAACTTCTTTGGTTTATTGCTGGTTCAACTAATGCTCTCAAGCTGGCTGACAAAGGAGTCCACATCTGGGATGCCAATGGCAGTAGAACTTTTTTGGACAAATTAGGGTTTGAAGATAGGGAGGAAGGAGATTTGGGGCCGGTTTACGGCTTTCAGTGGAGACATGCTGGGGCCAGATATAAAAATATGAATGCTGATTATAATAATGAGGGCATCGACCAATTAAAAGAGGTCTGTCAGCTGAGTGGGCTGGCTAATTGGCTGATTGATTGTAATTAATTTAAATTGATATCTGATTGGTTGATTGATTGTAATTAATTCAAATTGATATCCTAGGTGATAGATAGGATAAAGTCGAATCCGGATGACCGGAGGATGATTGTATGTTCGTGGAACGTTGCAGACCTCAGCTCGATGGCTCTGCCTCCGTGCCATCTACTATTTCAGTTCTATGTTGCTGATGGTTAGGTCTATGGTGCTGTTGTTGTTGTTGTTGGTGGTGGTGGTGGTGCTTGTTTGTGATGTACTTGATGTTGTTGTAGTTGTTTGCTTTGTGTGGTCTATGACGCTGCTTATCTTTATATTCTGATGTTGTCCTCATTGTCGGTTCTGTTGATGTAGTTTTGTTGATGTTGTTTGATTAAGCTTTTGTCAGACTATTATTTAATTATTAACTAAATGTTAACTCTAAAAAATATCATGATATCCTATTTAAAATCAACCCCCACCTACCTAAAATTAGGAGAGCTGTCGTGCAGCATGTATCAGAGGTCTGCCGATGTAGGACTGGGCGTGCCGTTCAATATAGCCAGTTACTCTCTGCTGACACACATGATTGCCCACATATGCAAGCTTAAACCTGGAGAGTTCATTCATTTCATGGGTGATACCCACGTGTATCTGGATCATGTTGAGCCCCTTCAAGAACAGATATATAGAGAACCGAGGGAATTCCCAAAGTTAAAAATAAATCGAGTCGTTGAGAGTATTGATGATTTTAAGTTTGAAGATTTTGAGTTGGTTGGTTATAAGCCTTATCCAGCCATTAAGATGAGGATGGCTGTGTGAGTTTGTGTGCGATTGTTTTGAGATGTAATTAATTCAATTGGGATTTGTTTTAAATTTTATTTTCCCCTTATGTTTTGATTTTGTAATTTTAAAAATGTTTGTGTGTGTGTGTGTGTGTTTGTTTGTGTGTGCGTGTGTGTGTGTGTTTGTATGTGTGTGTATGTGTGCGTGTTTGTGTGTGTGACATTCTTAAATGAAATTATATTATTTGTTTTTAATATTTTGTACCTCCAGTTGCACATAGCACAAAAATTACTGGCTTTATTTATTTAATTAATTATTGAATAAGTTTGGGTTTAAATATGAATAAACCAATTTATAAACACTTTTCAAGTTTATTTCTAAACGACCAAATGTGTGTGTTTGTTTGTGTGCGTGCGTGCGTGTGGTGTATGTGTTTGTTTTTTGTTTGATCATTTCGTTTACTATCCAAAGATCCATACAAAACATATTTTTTCTGAATAATCAATAACATATAAATGCTGCAATGATCAAGCTCAGAGAAAATTTCATATCTATGTAAACATAAACAAACTGAGACAAGGCAGTATGTAAACGGACATCAATGGCCATATAGCACACAATTCGAGCTAGTTTTTTGGTATATGTATCTGCATCGAATCACACTGAATTGTATTGTGTATTGTATTGTGTTTTGTATTATATTGTATTGTATTGTGTTTTGTATTGTATTATATTGTGTTTTGTATTGTATTATATTGTGTTTTGTATTGTATTATATTGTGTATTGTATTTTATTGTATTGTGTTTTGTATTGCATTATATTGGGTTTTGTATTGTATTGTATTGTGTTTTATATTGTGTTGTGTTTTGTATTGTGTTGTGTTTTGTATTGTGTTGTGTTTTGTATTGTGTTGTGTTTTGTATTGTGTTGTGTTGTGTTTTGTATTTTGTTGTGTTTTGTATTGTGTTGTGTTTTGTATTGTGTTGTGTTTTGTATTGTATGGTAGAACGAAAATAAAAGCTAACATTGGCAGCGTCGAACCAACATATTTCAAACGGTTATCTATCTCAACTGATGGGTATTAGTCGTTTGGGAATCTATTTTACATATCTATGCTCCTGCGTCTATGTTTGTTTATCTATGTTTATATCTATCTTTGTTTATGTGTCCTTGTTTGTATGTTCATGTTTTCACATCAATGTTTATGAGTTTGTATTTATACATTCAATTTATTATTATTATATATATATGTATGTATGCGTTGTTGTGTGTGTCTGTATGTATATATGTAACCTTTGTTATATACATGTATGTATATCTTTATTTATGTTCCGCCATTTTGTATCGGCTCATCTATGTATATGCTCTTTGTGTTCATTATTATGCATACACACATGCATACATACGTACATACATACATATATAACACATACATACGTACATATGCATGTATGCATGCATGCATACATACATGCACACATTATATATGGAATTATTTTTCCAGTTCTAGGTTCTAATTTATGTTCTAAACCTATCTTTTTCAAACTTATTCATGTATATATGTGCATGTATGTATGTATGTGTATATATGTATGGATGTATATACAGAGCTGTTTTGTTTATGTTAACACTCCGATGTCTATGCTTAAAGTGTTTTTATTAAGCTGTCTATGTTAACTTTGTTTTTATATCCATGCATGTTGTTTGTGTATTTAATGGTAGAAGGTATTTATTTATTTATCTATGTATCGTCTTTTAGATATGTTTATGTATGTTTGTATGTGTGTAGATAGATATTTATAGACAGACATCTATTTTATAGATAGATAGACAGATTGATTGATTGATTGATTGATGGATGGATGGATGTATATGTTATAGTACATGTAGTAGAATGAAAAAAACCGATAGACAGCAAAGAACAAACAGTTGGCGATGGATGGAAGAGAAATTTTTTAAACATATTGATGAAATTGACCAATGGGGCTAATCAGTAAACCCGCCGTATTTCATGAATATGGATCCGGGCATTTTAGCGATAATATGTTATATTTATTTCTTTATTTATGTATACTTTTGGTTGCACGTATATTTGTGTGTGTGGGGGGGGGGGTTATGGTAGTTGAATTAATAACAATCTTGTTACTATTAGCAAAAAGCGCCTATGAGCGAACAAGCAAATAATAACTATAAATCATGAACATAAAAAAAAACATTATATGTATGTCAGTGTGCCAGCGAGTTAAAGAATGTTGATGAGGATGATGAGGAGGAAGATGAAGTTTATTTTTATTATTGTTATGATGGTGGTGGTGATGATAATAATGATGGTAGTGATGATAATGTTGGTGGTGGTGGTTCCGGTGACGGTTTTGGCATTGGTGATATTTTGATAAGTGATGACGATGATGATGATTCAAATAATGATGAAGATGACGATTTATGTTTATATGTGTGTGTATATATATGTATGTATATGTTTGTGTTTTTATATATGTATGTATGTATGTGTTTGTATATTTGTGTGTTGTTATCATCGTCATCATCTAAATAGCAGTTGAGTTTTTCAGTTTTTTAACATACGTTAGCTATGTAACATAAATAAATGAAACATTATATTGCTTTGTATGTGCAGTTCGTATATGTATGTATGAATGTATGTATGTATGTACGAGCGAGATAAAATATATATATATATATATTTAAAGATTAGATAGATAGACAAATAGATGAATGAATTATTGAATGAATGAATGAATGAAGGAGGGAATAGATGCATGGATGAATGCAGTTGTTGAGTGTGTTGGATGAGTTGAATTTTGAATTTTCATTTCAACGTTACCGTACTTCGAAGAGAAGATGCTTGTTTGTTTGTATGTATGTTTGTATGTATGTATACATACGCACGTATATATCTATATACTCACGTATACGGTCTTTATATATACATGCGTGTGTTTTTTACGGTCGTTTTTATTTAGTTGAGAAGTTTCTATTATACACATTATCAATAAGTTAAACGTAAATATTAATAATAATAATAATTGCAATAATAATTTTAATAATAATTTTAATAAAAATAATTATAATAATAATTAATAAAGATTTTTTAATTGCACGCTCTTTAGACTGCCGTAATCGAACTGGCTAAAGACATTTGGATTATTATTATTTATTGTTAATTTATTATTTTTAATTATTAATATTTATTATTATTAATTATTAATATTTATTATTAATAATTATTATTATTAATTAATAATTGTTGGTGCCGAGGTTTATTATTGTTAATCTCAACGACTTCACCATCAAATGTCATCCCCCCCAATGACCACCATCACCATTTGATAACTCGCTGGATGATTAACGCAAATAATAAGAATAATAAAAATAATAATCAAAACAACAATAAAGATGATGATAAAAATAATAATAATAATGGCTTTTGTAATATCCTGTTTATAAAATTCGAAAGTACATAGGTACACATGTATCTATATGGCCATATAATAAGTATTTATGCGTGTATATATAAGTTTGTATGTATATGTTTGTTTATGTGTATGCATGTTTGTTTGTATGTTCGTTTGTATGTATGTTTGGATTTTACATACGCAATTGCTTTTCGGTGTAATTATAAAAAGAAAACAAGAATAGATGAAGGAGATGATGATGAAGATGATGATTATGGTTATGATGATAATAAAGATATTGATTTGCGTCTTAATGCAGTTGTTGATTGCAATCATGGTAATAATAATATTAATGATGATGATGATGACAAATGATATTTTGAAAAAATACAATTTATATAAACGCATGTTGAAAGGTTAGTTTAATTATTATTATTAAAGAATTGTAATTATTAAATTGATCTTGTTACAGCAACTACTGCTGCTTCTGCTGCTACTACTACAACTGCCACTACTAATAGCGATAATAATAAGAGAAATCGCAATTAATATGAACAAGGATACTTCTATTCTTCAAACATCCTGTTACTAAATTATGTATGTATGCACGTGTGTACGTATGTTTGTATGTATGTATGTATGTACGTATGTATGTATAATTGTATGTTCGTATGTATGTATATATATAAATAAAGTGACTGGTTTACCAATTTTAAAATAATTTTTATCTTTATATGTGAGTAATTTTAATATATAGGTTATTATCTGTTTATTATTATTATTACGACTACTTGTGTTTGTGGCAGTAGTAAGTAGTAGTAGTAGCAGCAGTTGTAGTAGTGGTGGCGTTAGTTGTTTTATTTTCAATTTTATTGCTTATCTCGGCGCGTGATTTTATTAGCGAGAAGAGAAGAAAATAAACTTTCTTTTGGAGACATCATTATCTTCTTCACCATCACCTTCTTCCTCTCCATCATCATCTTCATCATCATCTTCTTTACCATCATCATCTTCATCATCATCACAACTCCACGACCTTCGTCAACGTCACCATCATCACCAACGTCATCATCACCACCATCATTATCTTAATCATCTTCATCGTCACTATGAGTGGACGTTGTTATCTTAATAACATCGTGCTAAGATGACGGTTATGCTGGTAGGTTGGTGTCTGTGTTTTTGTGTCTGTGTGTGTCCTGTTTGTGTGTGTGTCTGTCCTGTCTGTCTGTCTGTGTGTGTGTGTGTGTGTGTCTGCCCTGTCTATGTGTATGTTTTTGTATGTGCGTACATTTGCATGTAGGATTGTTTGTATATTTTTATCATTATAGATACTAGAACAAACAAATCGATATATATATATGTATATATAGAGAGAGAAAGAGAGAGCGAGTTAGAGAGGATTGACAACATCAACATCAGCAGCTGCAACAACAGTATCACAACCATCATCATCGCCAACTAAAGTTGTTCAAACTAGATATGTTGAATATATTGGTGGTACGATACTTGCAGCAGTAGTAGTTGTAGTAGCAGTAGTAGTGGTAATAGTAGTAGTGGTAGTAGTAGTAGATGATGATAGCAATGTAATTATTGATATCCCACCTTATATTCCACATGTCATGCCAGAACAACAACGTCATCAACAATAATAACATCAACAACATTAAAAATATTAACAACGATATATTCATCTTTTGATTCATTCGTTCATTCATTCGTTCGTTCATTCGTCTATTCATATATTCTTTCAATCTTTCTTTCATTCATTCATTCATCCGTCTTTCCGTTTTCAACAGGAAGTAGCAAAGAATAGAAAGTTTAATCAAGCGAGTCATGCAAAGAACAAAAAGCAAGCAAAAAGATATCAACAAAAATGTGTTGTTGTTGTGTTTTGTTGTTCTTTGCTGATGATGCTAGCCACTATTGTTATCTGCGGCTGTTTATGTTTTTTGGTCTTTATGTTGTCGCTCACTTTGTTGTTTATGTTATCTCAATTTATATACAATCTTTACCCTGCCTATTTTCCACAATTCATCATTAAACTTGAAGAAAATAAAATCTCCATCATATCATCACACTAACAGCCCATGTTTAGTGTTAACGTCACATCCCTGGGTTTGGCAATACACTCCTACTTTAAATTTTATGATATTTTTGTTGAAAATTTGGTAGAAAGTGTCAATTCCCAAACACAACATCAACAGCCTGAACTAATTGCTTGAACTAATTTTTAATGATACACCTCTGTTGTATAATAATAATAATATTCCTCCCAGTCATCTAATCATCACTTCTCTCACAAACAACGGAACGGTATTTCGCGAAGTTCTTTAGTAGGTACTCCCCTGATGATGATGACGATGATGATGATGATGACGATGAAGGCGATGATGATGGCAATGCTGTTAATGTTGGTTATGCTTGTAGTGATAATGACGTCATAAATGATTGATTCTGATGATTATGATGATGGTGATGAAAATGTGATAATGATGACGAAAATGAAGCATTTATCGCAAGGATGGATCGCGATAAACGATGATGATGACGAAAAGGGAGATGGTGGACGATGAAGGCTACAAAGATGATGATGACGACGACAAAGATGATGATGACAACAGAGAAGATGATTCAGAGAATTTTTCGCATCCTGAATATGAAACAACACATGATTAAAAATAACAAAATGCCAAGCAGGCAGTGTTCGTTTTTTGCTTTTATCATCATTAAAATAATGTTTAAATAATCCAACAATTATACCAGAGTTTGTAATTAATGCAATAATAGTGCTGAAATTTTTGCAGTGAAATTTTGTTTTGTGATCAAAAAACATTTCGAATATCTTGAAATAATGTTAATTAATGAATAAATTTATCAAAAAGTTTATTACACGTATTAACTTTTTTGTGTGTTATTTTTGCTAGTCTTTGTAGTAAGGTTAGTAGTACATGGTACGGGAATTTAAATTTTTAAATACTAAAAGTAAAACTGTATCGGCTTTCCATAATAATGTACCGCAGACGTTGAAAAAACTTTCAATAGATCCGTCGTCCTTAGCGTTAACGTTTTTAAATTCTTGCTCGCGCATTTCTTTCATTTTCAAATAAAAAAATGTTCTAAATAAATTTTACAAGATGGATTTCTTCTTTTCAAGTTTGAAAGAAGAACATGTACACTTCGTCAGCGGCCATGACGGTTCCGACCCTTTTGATGTTATGTTGACGGTTTTTTCTGCCCCTTTGGCTGTCTTCTTGTGTAGATGTTTGCTGCCTTCTGAGTGTACAACAGGACCGAGACATCTCCTCAATGGAAAGTTGTCAGATTTTTTGGCTTTTGTTTTATTTAACTGAACCATAACATATGCACATTTTGTTGTTGTTTAATATTTATTTAATAAATAAAATTAAATAATTAAAAATTAAATTATCAATTGAAAAAAGTATAGTACACTAAGTTACTAACAACTCTAAACTCTCTAGTAAAAGTCTAACTAAAAATAAAACTCCAACTACTAAGCCAAAAAAAGTCTAGAACTCTAAGTTATACTAGCTAACTAAAAGTAAAACAGTAGGTAGGTCATTGATGGCATTTTGATTTAAATTCCAATCTTGTGTTACAAATAACATCATATTTTGTTTTTAGGAGTAAATAACTTTTATTTTTTGTAATTTTATAAATAAAAAGTTTTTTACCAAGTAATAAATATTAATCTTACTTATATTATGCTAATTTACTTTTTAGTAACTTTTATGATTGACTAATTGGTCAATTTAAAATTGTTTTTTTTTTCATAAAATAATAAAAGTAATGTTTAATTCATCAATCAAACCCATCAGATATGCATTTTTAAACTTTTTTGTGGAGTATCTCATTCTCGTTGCCACAGTCCTCCTGTCTATCACATATTTTTCTGATATGAATTTAAATTTTTACCTCATTATATCTTGTGTTGGTATTCCATGGGCCCTGCTCAGTAAGTTATTATCACCAAAACACTTGAAAGTTGAGAGAATTGGTGATGATGAGGATAGTCATTACAGGGATGGTCATGCTAGAACAACTAATAATGAATCAAACAGACCAAATAATGTTGAAAAACCATCCTACATATCTGTACATAGATCATATGTCAATATTGCTACTGCCATCTGCATTTTAGCTGTTGATTTTAAAGTGTTTCCTCGTCGATTTTGTAAAACAGAAACGTACGGTTGCAGTTTAATGGATGTAGGGGTTGGTTCTTTCATAGTTTCCAATGCAATTGTTTCTAGAGAAGCCAGAGGTGTTACTAAAAGGTATTCCTATTCAACTAAATTTATGATTTATTTTTCTCACATGTATTTTTACATTAGGGTTGTTTGTTTTTAAACTACATGTGTATATTTCAATTTTTGTCATTTCAAGATTAGGTCTCAGACGTTTATTAAAGACTGTACTCTCAACGTGGCCATTGATTCTATTAGGAATGGGGAGGCTTCTAACTTTAAAATCTATCAACTATCATGAAGTTGTTTCTGAATATGGAGTCCACTGGAATTTTTTCTTCACTCTTGCCTTTGTTAAGGTTTTTTTTAAGTTTAACAATTTTTTGAATATTTTTGAACTAAAAGTAATTTTTTAATAAGTGAATTATTTTCTATTTGTACAGATTGCTTCAGCATTTGTATTTATGTTCATTCCTGCTTCCTATTCAACACTGATTTCACTAATTCTAATTTTTTCATATGAGATATTGCTTCTCGATTTTAAGTACAAAGATTATATATTATCAGACCAAAGGGACAGTACTGTAGATCAAAATAAGGAGGGTTTATTTTCATGTTTTGGTTACTTGTCTTTGTATTTTATTTCTGTGTCTTTGGGGAGAATTCTCTTAACTTCTAATCATTTCAAGTTTGTTTAAATAAATATTAAATATTTATTATTTGTAGTGTTACTCTTAATTTTGGGTTGATTTTAATTTAACTATACTTTCGTAATAAAATTTATAATAAAAAAAAATTACGTTTTAAATAATTTTTTTTAATTATATAGAAAGCATTCCATGATTTGTATGGTAGTAATGTGTGCTGTATGCTGGTCTGTAATGTACTACATTCCTGCCACTAGTATATCAAGAAGGATGGCTAACTTTTGCTATGTCATTTGGATTGTCGGTTTCATTTAATTTATTTCATCATTTAATACTATTCCATTATTCATTATTTTATTTTATTATCATTTTTATTAAATTATTGTTTTTTGTTGAGATTTTTCTAGTTTTAGCGATGTTATTCAAGTCAATGTTTCTGCTGGATGTGATACAAACACATCACCATTATTTCATATTGCATTCAATAGTACAATATTATTATTATATAAACTTCAATTACGTTTCTTATAATAGTTACATTTATAATTATATTTTATAATTAGGTTTTTTTTTCTTATTTTCATTTTTCAACAGATTACATACAATGTTCAGCTCTTGAGTTTCTTCATGCTGGCTGATGTATTGTCATACTATCTTGATCTTTACAGGAATGTAACAAATGGTGATTTTTATTTATTTATTTATTATCTTAATGTTATATATTATTTTTGTTACGTTTTATTGTTCATAAAATGAAATTAACATGATGCTGTTATTTAGAATCTTTTTTTTGTAGAATGGCCAAGAGAGCCGAGGTTATTGGCTGCTATCAATGGCAATGGTTTATTTTTCTTCCTACTGTCCAATTTGTTAACGGGGTTGATAAATATGTCCTATGACGTCATACACGCCAGTGATCTAGTTGGAATGTTGATTCTATTCATCTACACGTATGTCCTGTCCATGGTTGCTTATTCAATGCATTCCCACCATGTTAAGATCAAATTTTGGTGATTGTTTTTGCTGCAAATTAGTTGTTTTTGTTGGCTTCGTTTCTTTTTTATCGTTTTATACTAGATTAATTAATCGAAATGTGTATTATTCAGATTTTGTATTTGCAATTCTGTTTTGTTGGTGCGGTAGAGAGCTTTTTATCGTTGTTAATTGAATCGTCAGTATCTCACTCTGGTCGGTGTTCGCACGCTTACGTTTTTAATTTGACATCTTAAAACATTCGTAATAACTTGAAAATTTAGAACTTTATCGATTAAAATATCTTAGTTTATGTTCATTTTTCGGTTCAAATACAATTAAAGTTTGAATAAATTCTAATCTCCCAATTCTGTGGTCGTCAATGTCTCAATAAGGAAGCTAAAAGGTGGGTTGTTTATTTCATTAAAGTTTTTTTTTAGATTTAAATGTCCTCTGTTCTTTGAAATTTATGCTCGGTCAAATTAAAAATTTCTCTTCATTTATTTAGGCGAGTTATTTATTTTTGTTAGATATTTAAAATAACGTGTTTTAAATATTTTTGTAAAATTTTTGATTATTGGGCGCCGGCTCACCTCACATCTTCACAACTTAATATATATATATAATTATATGTATGTGTTATAACCGTGCTACCGAACGCATTAGATTCTAGCGTATTCTAGAATGCTCTAGTGACTGGAGCATTCTAGAGTATGCTAGAATCGGACCATCTAGGAGAATCTAGAAACGACGCTTCCGAAGAGTATATAAGGTATAAGTATATAAGTATTATAAGCGCACGTCGCAAGAAGATTAGTGAAATCTGTGATTAGTGAAATCCGTGATTAGTGAAATTCGTGATTTTGTAAATTCGTGACTCTGTGATTTTGTGAATTATTTAAAGGATATTTGATTTGTTTGTTGACGTCATAGTGATAGATTTTGAACAATTTAAAAGTTAATTGTTGCATTAATTTGAATTTGCTAGAAATAAACGATTAGTTGATTTCTTCTGTAAATAAAGTTTAATAACTAATAACTGTTTGGAGTATTTTATTCAATCAAAGATTTGAACCCGTCATAAATCGGTTACGACAGCGAGTATTATAACATATGTATATAATTTTTAGTCTAAAGTAATAAAATAATAAATTTTTTTATATAGATAGTTGATTTGATCAAAAACTAAAACCTGAAAGTAATCCCTAAAAGACAAAAATGACCATGGGTAACGAGGAAGAACTATTCTCATCCATGGCTCTCCCTGTAGTGGTGAGGCCTATCCTTGATAAAGTAAGCCAGCCATTTTTGTTATTCACAAATAATGTTTTCTGTCAAAATTATGACTAGGTTACAATTTTATTTAAAATTTATGATTGATGTTTTGATTGTAATTAAACAGTTTAATTAACTTGATTTAGTTACCTATTATGATTGATTTGTATATTTTATTTTATTTTTTATTCGCAGATGGAGAAAAAGAATGCAGTAGCAGCAAATGCATTAAAAAGTGGCTTTGCTAAAGTTAGTATTGTATATTCATAGCTATTTATATCTTATTTATATTTCTATTTATTTAGTTTTATAATTAATTCATTTACTTTACTTTACATTAAATTTAAATTCGTTCATAATTTAATTCATAATTTATCTAATTTATTATGGTCTATTTTAATAAATTTTTTCATCATCTTATAATGATTCATTGTAATTTCAATTTTTTTTATTCAATATTGATTTATATAACTATTGTCAATTTATCTTATAAGTAATTTACCATTATTTTTTCATAAATTATTATAATGTGTTATAATTTATTCAAGGTCGAGTCAGCCCACCCAGGCTTCACTTATCAGCTGATCAAGAGTATATTGAAGAAGGCTGAGGTTGACAATCAAGTAGATATGTGTGAATGTCTACTAAGAATAGAGGGCTCCAATAACTCCAATGGTTTCTTGTTTTTCTGTGTTTATTATTTTTGTATTTATTATTTATTATTGTATTTTTTGTTTTCTATATTAATTTAATATACATTTGATCACAGCGGATCTAGACAACTTTGATGGGAGGTCAAAATTTTGAAAATATTTAAATTTGGAAATTTGATAAAGGGGCCAAGAAACTTACAAAATTTGTGGTAGTGTAACTAAAATTTGGCAATATATTATTTAATGCTCATCCCATCGATTTTCGGTTGATTTTTTAGAATGTGGCGCAGATATAGTGAGTTAATCTGGTAGTTTGGCACTTAGGGCTCCCATATGTCCTTTTTTTAAGAGGACAGTCCTTTTTTTTGCATTGGTGTCCTTTTTAAAATCTGTTCTTCAATTTCTTTAATTTTGTCTTTTTTTTAAAATGTGTCCTTTTTTTGTCCTTTTTTTTCATTATTAAGTCTGAAAATATCAATACAACATCACATCATAAATATAAATCGATAATCAAGTGCTTAAAATAATTAAAAAAAATAAAATAATCATTTATACATCATAAATAATAATGCTGCTCTTAATAATTGTTTCCAGGTATATAATGCTTATGTTCTGTTCAATCTATAGATTAAGATTCCATAGTTCGAAATAACTTCTATAACAATACTATTTATGATTTCATGTCCATCTAACTTCACTGTGCGTGGAGCGCGTTCTCTTCTTCGCGTGACGTTTATATTATACAGCCACTTTTTTTAATCTAAATTTTTTTAATTTTATCAAATAAATTAATAAATAAAACTAATTTAAATTATAAAATTAACGATGTCAAAAAGAAAAAGCGTTTATCGTGAACAGTTTTCAACTGACTTTCCAGGGATTATAAAAAGTAAAAAAGGTGAAAATTATGCCTTTTGCGAATATTGTTCAACTGATGTTAGTATTGCGAACGCAGGCGTTTCATCTATTAAACAACATTTTGAAAAAGAAGTTCACAAAAACAACGTGAAAATTAAAAAGTCTACTGTCGGAATATCAACATTTTTTCATAGTAATAATTTGCCCACATCTAGAAAAACTGCTGCAGCAGAAGGAGCATTTGCATATCATGTCGCTTTTCATTCGTTATCGTTTAAAGCTGCAGATTGTACAAATCGTTTAATTTCAACTGTTTTGGCTGAATCGGAAACTGGTCGGAAATTTTCATCTGCTCAAACAAAAACGCAGGCAATCATTTCAAGAATATTGGCTCCGAAATCAATTGAGAATCTTTTGTCTGAATTGGGCAGCGAGCCGTTTTCTATTGCAACCGACTCGTCAAATTTTAAAGAAATCAAAACATTCCCTATCATTATTCGGTATTTTTCGAATGAAGGATTGAAAGTTAAATTGTTAGAGTTTTCAAATTTGCCAGGAGAAACGTCAGAATTGATTTTCAAATATGTAATGACTGTACTTGACAGATTCAAATTGAGTCCTAATAATTTGGTAGCGTTCAGTGCTGACAACGCTAATGTAAACTTTGGTGGAGCAAAACAGAATGGTTAAAATAACGTTTTTGCCAAATTGAAAAACATTCAATCAAAACTGATTGCTGTAGCCTGTCCAGCTCACATTCTCCATAATGCAGCTAAAAAATCCTGTGTTTTCACTTGACATTGAATCGTTGCTGTTCAAAATCTTAAGCTATTTCAATGGATCCACGCTGCGACATGAAAAATTTAAAGAATTTTGTGAATTTATGGAAATTCAATATGCTAAATTTCCAACTCATACTCACACACGATGGTTAAGCCTTCTTCCATTGATTGAACGAATTTTACAGTTATGGGGTGGCTTAAAATCACTAGTTCTATCAACGGATGACATTCCAAAGGTTCTGGAAAATTTATTCTCTGATGATTCAAATGAAATCTACTTCTGGTTTCTACAGAGCTCATTGGAGCTGTTTCAGCAAACTTTGCTGATACTTGAAAAAAAAGACCTTGTGCTTCCTGAAATGATAGAATCTGTCGAAAATCTGTCACAAAAACTCACTGACAGGATGCAGAAAAATTTTTTTGGTGCCATGACTCAATCAAAGTTACAATCATTGGAGGATTCTAATTTGGCTAATCGCATAGAAAAGGAGTTTACAACATTTTATTCGACATCTGTTGATTACATTCAGAAGTGGTTCAGAATTACTGATTATCCGTCTTCTTCTAAGTGGTTAATGCTGAAATCTGTCGATACAATTTCGTATGAGGATATTCGAAAATCTGCAGAGTTTCTAATGCCAGAAATTTCTGTGAAAGATTCTCTGTTTGATGAAACGAGTCTTCTAATTTCACTGTTGAAAGATTCAAAAAAAAGTTTCCACGAATTGCCCATTGATAAAAAATGGGCTGTTCTGTTTCAAATTTGAAGAAATTGGATACACAATTTTTGCCATTCCTACCTCGAATGCTGCTGTTGAGCGAATTTTTTCATTATGTAAAAAACAATGGACTGATGATAGAAACTGCCTAAAAATTGATACTGTTAAAGGTTTACTACAGGTAAAGTTTAATTATTCTTTAACATGCTCTGAAATGTACACTTACTTGTTAAAAAACGATGACTTAATTAAGCAAATACAATCAAAGGATAAGTATGTTGGTTGATTTCAGTAGTATGCCGGAGATCAGAGACTTATACAAAAAATTGAGAAACTGTCGTATAGATTGAGTACTACAAGGAAGGAACGCTAGTATTTTTATTATATATATATATATATATATATATATATATATATATATATATATTGTTGAAATCGATCGCTGTTATTAAATTATTTCTTTTCTTTTTTAGATTTTCCAACTTTCGAATTAGTTTTTTATGTTCGTAATCTAGGT